AGGGTGACGGTGTCCTGCCCTGGACGGGGAGGCTGTCAAGGGGCAGCAGGACACGGGCGAGAAGGGCCGGATGTCACCGGCTGTGTCGTGTGGGCCGGGACAGCGCCAGCGCGTTTTCTCGCGGCCGCTGCGACTGGTGTTGGCGGCGTGCAGGTCGCCAGAGGGCACGAGGAAAGAAGCGTCCACGGTGAGTGGGCGCCTACCCGCTGGCACCGCTGGGGGAGCTTGCTGCTGGTGCATTGAGAGAGGGACCGGGGAAGAGCGAGGGATAGAGGGAGAGAGAGAGAGAGAGAGAGAGAGAAAGACAGGGGGCGCATGGGGCGAGGGAGGAGGAAAAGGACAGGGAGAGGGGGAGGAGAAATGGCAGGGAAAGAAAAATATTGGAGCGTTCGTGGCACTGGGGTGCACATGCCCAAGTGAATGGAGCAGGGCTGCGCTCATGCGGAGGGCTGACCTGCCCCTACGGCTATCCCAGGATAAGCTACCTGCAGTGGCTTTTCGAACGAACTCCTCAGAGGTGCACCTGGACCGAATTGCACAAGCCGAAGCGCGGTGACACTTCAGCCAGATTCGGAAATGAATATGCGTGTGGCTCCTCTGCCGACGCAGCCCGCAAACGCAACAAAAACACTTACGATAGAGTACCTCTGAGCCCTCCCTGTTCTCCTCATCCCGTATACCCGCCCTTCTGCTCCTTCTACGCCAAGCCTTCATACGTGCCCCCACTCTGCCCCTCACGCCCCCTCTTCCCCACTCCCAGGACCCTCGGCGTCGTGATGCTCATTCAAATAAGCTTGCCTGTAGGAGCATCAGGCCAATCCTGAAGCTGGTGCATGCCTCCCCCTTCTGCGTCAACCCTGCACGAGCAAGTGATCCGATGCCTGCCCCCCTGTTGTGCACTTGCACGAGCCTGGCCCTCGGATGTGGCAATGGGTTCGTTGGCCATCCTATGTACAGGGCAATTTTTAATACATCGGATTGTTTTAATATCGGGTTGTTAATACATGATTAATTTATGAATGAATGTATGCATGAACTCATCGTTGTGTTTAATACTAGCACCCTGCATTTTTAATGCATGATCCGCACGCGGAGCATATTAAAAACGGCACTGTATGCCTATGTGCACTAACGTGAGTCAGGTAGAATCCACTGGATCTGATGAGGACCAATGTGGTCCAAGGGGGTTGGATAGAGACCAGTGGAACCAAAACGAACTCCAACTCAGACCCGTTGTGTCCAATGGAGCCATATAGTCCAATTGGGAGTACGACGAAGACCAGTGGAGTCCAATGGAGTCCGGAGGGGTCCAACAGAGCCCCGTGGGGAGTCCATTGAATCCATGGGCTCCAATGGAGCCCTATGGAACCCAATGTTGTCCAAGGAAGCCTATCCGTCCCAACGAGCGTCCAGTGGAGTCCAGCGGTCGTTGGGCGTTCCAGTGAAGGCCTGTGGCTTCCCCCATGGCATCCAGCGTAGTCCTATGGAGCCCGATGGGCATCCCGTGGAGACCTGTGGATTGCCATGGGTCCAACGGATGGAAGGACTCCATAGCCCACGCAGTCATATTCCTCTCTGTGGCTCCCAACTTCCACATGTCTCCCTCCTCCCCTCTGCCTGCAGCACGGGCTCTCGAGGAGAGCGAGCCGCGACGAAGGGAGGGGACCAACTGTGGGAGGGCGAGGCGGGGGACCAATTGTATCTGAAAAAAGTGCTGTTCAGACTCTGGGCCGCCCCCAGACTCTGGGGGCTCCTCTCTCCTCCTCCTCCTCCTCCTCCTCCTCCTCCTCCTCCTCCTCCTCCTCCTCCTCCTCCTCTGGACCTCTGGCTCGTGGCAGTTCTTGCGCATATCACTGATGCCATCGTGCTCCTCCTCCTCCTCCTCTCCCTCCTCCTCGACCGCCTCCTCCTCCTCCTCCTCCTCCTCCTCCTTCTCCTCCTCCTCCTCCTCCTCCTCCTCCTCCTCCTCCTCTTCCTCCTCCTCCTGCAGTGTCTCATGGGGCCTTGGATTCGCACGAGGAACGATGGGCGGGCGCCTCGCGCGCGGCCCGCAGCACCGGCGGCCCGGTGCTGCGCACGCGCAGGCCCTCGCAGCGCCGCGCCTCGGCCTCCGCCAGCCGCTGCTGGGTGCGCTCGCGCTCGGCCCGCAGCTCGGCGGCGGGAAGGGGCAGCGGGGGGAGGCGGAGGAAGAGCAGAGCAGGGGGAGGAGGACGAGCAGGAGGAGGAGCAGGAGGAGAGGGGGAGGGGTAGCAGGAGGAGGGGGAGGAGGAGGAGGAGGAGGAGGAGGAGGAGGAGGAGGAGGAGGAGGAGGAGGGGGAGGAGGAGGAGGCGGAGGCGGACATGGAGCAGCGGCAGGAGGAGCAGGCAGGAGAAGGGGGGGGGGACGGGCGAAAAGGAGGGGGGGAGGAGAATGGGGTGGAGCAGCGGAAAATGGAGAACGGCAAGGAGGATGGAGAGGAGGCGGAGGCCATGAGGGCGACGATGATGATGATGATGATGATGATGATGATGATGATGATGATGATGATGATGATGATGATGATGATGATCCTGATGATGCTGATGATGCTGACGATGATGGTGATGATGGTGATGATGATGATGCTGATGATTATGATGTTGGTGATGGTGCTGTTGCTGCTGATGACGATAATGCTGCTGCGGATGTTGATTATTATATTGATGCTGATGGTGACGATGACGTTGATGATGCTGATGATAGTGATGATGATGATGATGATGATGATGATGATGATGATGACGGTGGCAATGACGCAGATGATAATGATGATGGTAGTGTTGATGACGATGATGACGATGGTGGTGGTGATGATGATGCTGATGATCGCGATGCTGATCATGATGATCCTGATCTGATCATGATCACGATGATGATGCTGATGATGATGATGCGGATGGTGCTGCTGATGTTGATGCTGATGATGATGCTGGTAATGATGACAATGATAATGAATATGATAATGATGATGATGCTGATGATGATGATGATGCTGGTGATGCTGATGATGATGGTGATGCTGATGATGGCAATGGTGATGATGATGATGCTGGTGGTGCTGATGGTGATAGTGAGGGTAATGGTGATGGGGATTATGATGATGCTGATGATGATGCTGATGGTGATGATGCTGGAAATGATGACGGTGACGCTGATGATGCTGATGCTGCTAACCATGATGTTTAGAATCATGAGAATGACGAGGTTGATCATGAGGATGATTATGAGGACGAGGATGATGATCATGATGGCGATGATTATGATGATGATAATGTTGAGGATGATGAGGATGGTGAGAACGATGCTGATTAGTATACTGATGATGGTGAAAATGATGATGATGATGATGATGAAAATGATGATGATGATGACGATGGTGGTGGTCATGATGATCATGGTCATGATCGCAATGGTGATGATGGTGCGGATGCTGATGCTGACGCTGAAGCTGACGATGGTTGTGATTATGACGATGCTGCTGATGCTGATGCTGATGATGATGATGCTGGTGATGGTGATAATGATAATGAGAAAGATGATGATGCTGATGCTGATTATGATGATGGTGGTGATGATGGTGATGATGATGATGATGATGGTGGTGCTGATGATGATGATCGTGATGATGATGATGATGGTGGTGCTGATGGTGATAATGATGGTAATGGTGATGGGTGCTATGATGATGCTGATGATGATGTTGCTGATGATGATGATGATGATGCTGGAAATGATGATGGTGATGCTGATGATACTGATGCTGCTGATCATGATGTTTATAACCATGAGGATGATGAGGCTGATCATGAGGATGATGATGAGGACGAGGATGATGATGAGGAAGACGATGATGCTTATGATGTTGATGATGATGATGTTCAGGATGATGATGATGATGATGGTGGTGATGATGGTGGTCTTGATGTGCAACGATTTTAACGTGTCATGTGTCATGAAAGGCATCTTGGATCCTCTTGAGTCTCACCCGCTGGCTGCGCGGAGCCCGCGGGAGGTCGCCAGGCTCACATCGTCAAGTGGGCGAGCTCCAGCTTAGATTTACATCGGAGTGATTTGCAAATGGGGTTGACAACAATTTCGTATCCCGTGAGCTCAGCAATCGTCACCGCTTGTTTTGTCCTACATAGTAGCTACCTCTGGCCAGAGCCATCCATTCTGGCACGTCGAGGTCATCGCGCCAGCACCGTAGGACATGGCCGTAGACATAGTGCCCGTTGCGGCGGCCGCCGTCGAACAACCCCTGTATTCTCCATGGGTGCGGGTGCTATGCAGAGATAGGGCAGTTGCTGTTCGCCACGCTGGCGCTTTGTGGACAGCGCTCGGATGGCCTCGACGTCGGCGAGTTCGCTGCCCTCCCTGAAGATGTGCGTCGCCAGGCGCCCCCCTGGCTCCGCTGATAGGAAGCGCGCCTCGACCCGCTGGTGGTGAGTTTGTCCTGGAGGGACGCCACCCTCCTCGCATAGCCATGGGATGTGGCTCTGGGCTGGCAAGCCACGATATTACTGCACAGTTGTCGCCCCAGAGGTCAAGCAGAGCCCTCACAAGCACCCATGTCCCATAGCGCCACCTTATAGGCTCTTGTACGTAAGCCCTCGGTTGTGTCGTAACGGCTGCCATGTTTGCTGCCCAAGCACGTTTTTGACTGTCATTCAGCAAGGATCGCCGTTTCATGTCTCATCGTTAATGCTGCGTATTCGAAATCGCCGCGAGTATGATCCCAAGAGTCCGTGAGGTCACGCCAAGACGTACCCCTTTCCGATCGATGAGCGGGCAGTCCTCCCAAATTGTCCGGTGCTTCCAACCTGTTCTGTGCTGCCAACGGTTCTCCGTGAGGTCGGTGGTCCACTTGCCGTGGCTGATGATGATGATGATGACGATGATGATGATGATGATGATGATGATGATGATGATGATGATGATGATGATGATGATGATGAGGACGAGGAGGAGAAAGAGGAAAAGGAGGAAGAGGACAAAGAGAAAGAGGAGCAGGACAACGACGATAACGAGGACGACGAGGTGGAGGAGGGTAACCAGATGACGACGAGGAGGACGAGCAGGAGGATGAGGAGAAAGCAGGGGGTACAGGGTAAAACTGTTGAACGGTTTGCGGGAAGACTGCGGTTGCATTCAGACCTTCGAGTCGTCGAAGTTGGCAACAGGGGCTCTGAGCCCTTGGATCAGGCGCGAGAGCTCTAGGGGCCCAAATCGAACAGCAGTCAATCTTGGATTCAACACCGACCCTGCCCAAAGGATCACGGCTTACCACCATACTGCCGACTGAAACCACAAGGCACGCCCCTGCAAAGTGTCCTACCCGAAGCCCGGTGCACAAAACAAACGACAAGACGTTCCCCATCTTCTCCCTTATCCTTCCATTCTCCATCCCCTCCCCCCCATCCTCTCTCGAAGCTGGAACCTAAAAAGGGGAGCGAGCGCGGCAGACTGATCGTAGCGATCGAGAGGAGCGGTGTCGCACTCCAGGCCGCCGAAGGAAGCAAAGGCCTGCCTGGCGGCCCCCACTGCCTCGCGCTGCACCGTCGACACTATCGCACCGTCGACACTATCGGACGTCACTGGCCATTCATGTCGGTGCCTCGGCGTTTGGGGCCCACTGCGAGGCGCACGCCGAGGTAGCCGCGGATGGGCGGCAATCACTGGCATAGCTGTTGCCCGGAGACGCGCGCATCCCATGCTGTCGCGTCGATACGCCGAGAATCGTGCCCTGAGTTGGAGCGAGCCAAAAGCAAGCAAGGGTGCCGCTGGGACATCCGAATCACGGCTCAGATGCTCCTCTTCGCCATCATCCTTCCTCCCCTCCCCCGCTATCACCCCAACATGTCGTCATCTTCGCCATGTTCCACTGGGCGCAAGTCCACGGGCCTTGTCTTCCTTCTCTTTCAGGATGGCACTGCGGTTCTCCTCGAGAATGCTGCGCCTTCACAGCGCGATGGGCCCCCCACGGCACCGGCACGTGCTAAGAATTTCATTCAGACCCTGTTTGATGCATGCCTGCTAACGTGGACCCAGAATGCGAGCTTCATGATGCGCCATCCACGGAATGCAGTCTAGGTGGTGCAATGTATGTGGTAGAATCGAACTGGCGCAATATGTAGGATGCTTCCTGTGTGGTTGAATCTATCTGATGCGAGATATGCGGTGCAATCGATATGGTTGAAACCATGGGGTGCAAGATATGTGGTGCAATCCACCTTGCTGAACTTGAAGTACTCAACTCCACTGCTCGCGCAAACATCCCACCCTTCCACCCACATCTTAGCTTGGACAACCCATGCGGCCGCGATTGCGACCATTACTTGACGCCATTTGTCGCATCTTTTCGGCCGCGTTGGCCGCGCGAAAGCTCGCGCACAAAACGGCCAACTTGTTTGGAACAACCGATGTGGCCACGATAGCACTTACTGATGGCAACTACCCATCGCGTCTCAAAGGTCGCGCTGGCGCGCGGGCACTTCAATGCGGGTCGGTGGCCAGGGCGGGCGCGGTATCATGATGACGTTGACAATGGCGGCAACGATGATGATAGTTGGTGGCGATGATGACGATAACGACGGCAATGCCCAGGTCGGCGCCGATGTTGGTAACGCCGAGAACGATGATGTCCATGTGTCGATGGCGCAGGTGCTTGAATGATAACAACGATAATAGCGGCAGTTGCTGATGACGATGACGTGATGCGGCGGCGCTGCCGAGGGTGATGGTGAGAAAGTGCGCGCGCGGAAATCCAAGAACTCTGGCAATCTGTGTGTCGACAAGCCTGTGTGTTGTTCATACGTGATTGGAAAGCTCTACTGTAAGCTGCTTCGTGAACCTATGCTTTGACAGGACTTCGACACGTTCGCGTGGCGGCGCGAGGGTGTGGCCCGCATGGCATTGCTTGGTACGGATTCGTGCAGTGAGCGCATACTGGATCAACGTGGACGCATCGCGTTCTGAAATGAGAATGCGGGTTCTAGACGAGATTGCTAAAACCACTAGGTTGTCTTACGATGTCAGCCAATGCGCGTTGGCAGAAACAGGGCCGGAGTCGTGATGAAGCACCTACGTGTTGTTTGAGGTTGTTTTGCTGAGATGCCTGCAGCATTTGTGTGATTGGTACGACTTCGACATGTCCGCAGTTATGCGTTCAATTGCAAGGGAATATTGGAAAATGATGTTGCGACAGGCGATGCCTGGCCTATCTGGGATGGTTTGAGCTCAGGAAAATGAACGATGAAGCAAAATCGATTGATATTTGCAGTGTCCCAGGGGGCGTCGACAAGCCCACGGGGGAGAAGGTGGTGGAATCTATTCTTTTTCTGAAAGGAAAAAACCAGGTGATAGCTGTGTGGTAAAATCCACGTGGTGCAATCACTTTCGACCGTCTTCAAATCGTGAACTGCACTGCTCGTGCAAATGACCCACCCACTCGACCGCACCTTGTTGGCAAGACCGCACTGGTCGATGACAACGAAGATGACAATTACGGTGGTGATCTTGATGACGACGGCGAAGACGATGTTGTCGACGACGACGGTGGTGATGATGATGCAACAAATTATGATGTTAACGACGGGCAACGATGAAGCCGACGATGAATGGCAATGAAAACGATGACGACGAAGTGCCCACGCGCAGAAATTTGACGATAACGACGACATCAGGGATGCCAGCGGTGTTGGTGATCCCGACGATGCTGATGATGCTGGCGATGGCAATGATGATGCCGACCATGATGATAACGATCGTGCTGACGAGGATGACGGGAGGGGTCGGGCCTGCAATAAGTCGAACATTACGCCTTGCTCTCCTTAAAAACAAACAGATGGTTTTATGTTTTGAGCACCTGTGTGGAGACGGTTCCATATCCAATGGTTGTGAAACGGTTTCGACGTGCACGTGCGGCGGACGCCCGAGTGTGGGTCGCATTGTGTAATTTGACAGGATTGGTGGGCGCGCGATGGTGGTCGAACGGTTTCGACATACACGCGCAAGTGGGCCGCACCTTCAGGTTTGACAAACTGGCTGGAAACTTGTGGCTTCTTTCGAGGTTTTAACGAATGCGTGCGCAAAAATCTGGCAACATGTGTTGGACAAGCAGTTGTTTGTAACTATTGTTGGCTAGCTGCGTCTTGGCATGATTAATAACATGAACAGTGGATGCTCAAAGAATTTGCCACGCGCGCATGTGGCCCGTAATGTTTTTGTCTGCGAATGTTTTTTTGCGAGCACATCCTCTAGATCAACGCATATGCACCGCAGTGTATACTGTTTGACGGGGATGGGGGGGCGATGCTGGGATCGCACTGCGATAGTATGATTTCATATGGTAAACGAACGACGAGGCAGAACCAAATGCAATTGGTAATGCGAAGAAGTGGGCGGATAATGTTGACCGGCTTGAAGCCGTCAACTCCACTGCCCGTGCAAACATACACCTCCCACCAGCCAATTGTCGGCAAAGCTCATCTAGCCATGATATCATCGAGCGCACGGGCGCGTGGAACTCAACCGCGCAAGCAAGTCCGTCCTCCAGGTCGCGAACTGGTGGTGGCGATGGTGACGACCGCGACGCCACTGACGATGGTGATGACAGAGGTGATGACGCTCAATGCCGACGACGACGATTATAGTGATAAGCGGATGGTCATAACACTAACGGTGGCCACAGTGGCGCTGCCGATGATGATGACGATGGTGTTGGTGACGATGATGAGGAAGTCCGCGCACAAAACTTTGACGGGGGCGACGACATCGACGATCACGACAATGACGGCAGCGGTGATGATCCCGACAAGGGTGATGATGAAGACGCTGACGATGGCAATGATGGCACTGACGGTGATGATAACGATTGCGCCGTTGAGGATGATGAGGTGCCCGCCCACAGATGTTCAAACATCCTGACATGTGTGTGACCGGACAATGCGCGCGTGCGGCCAGGATGGTATCATTGGATAAAGTTGGTGGGCTCGCAACGGAAGTCGAACACCTCTTAAGCATTTCCAACATGCGCGCACAAGTGGCCCGCATGGTCTGAGTTGACAGAGCGGCTGAAAATAGCCCATGGTTCTCTCAATATCTTAGCGAAGGCGCGTGCACAGAATTCCAAGATTCTTCGTTGAACGACCACTCGTGTTTGGCAGCTTTTGACCAGCCGTGTCTTGAAATTGCAAAACGCCGAATGGCTTTGCACGGATTCTGACGTGAGCGCAGCGGCGCGCGCATGTGCCCTGCAGTCCGTCCGTCGCAGAGGGTTCTTGGCGAAAACGCATGCTATTTCAACGCGTGCGCACCGCATGCGCACCGCACCGTAAGAGAAGGCGGGCGGATGAGCACGGCCTCGAAAAGGGGTGGGGGGGAGGTCGAGTACCTTGTCTCAGACAGGAGAGCGCAGGGGGCACAAGCTACATGGTGCATGTAATGCTTATCAGCTCAACTCGTGGGTTGGTGCCAGGCTCCGCTGCCTGGCACTCACCCACGAGCTGACAAACAACACCGTACGAAGAACCCACATCAGAAGATACGTTCCCTGCCTGGTCCAATCGAACCGCTGACCAGGAACATTGTGCAAACAAGGGTCGCCGTCTGCATCTACTCATGTTTAATTCACGCCCCTGCTCCCGCTCCCGCTCCTGTTCCCGTCATCCGCTACGTCTGCTACTCCTACTGCTAACGCTTGCAACAAAACAAGAAATCAACGATGGGCGCATGCGGCCACCCCCACAGGAGCCGCAATCGACGCTCCTGACGTTGCACGAGTCGGGTGAGGACAGACTGGAGCTCGGGCGCACGGATGGGCACACAAACGACGACGACTGCACAGTTGACAACATCCAGAAGGGGCGAGACCTGGTTTGTGTACACGTCGGTCGGAAGAAGCAGGCAGAAACATGAAGTAGGAAGGCGGATGTAGTAGATTGGGTCCAGGCCCTCCCAGAGAACAACAAAACGCAGCAAAAGCATGCCGATTCTTGAAGTAGAAAGGCGCTTGAAGTAGATCGGGATCTGGGAATCCAAAAGCACCTACTTTCAACGACCGGCGTGTATGCGTGGAGCGAGCACTCCGCTGGGCCCGGCCAGGGAGACCGGCCAGCGGCAACAGCCATGCGTGGTGCAAGGCCAGGGGGGAAAGGACAGGTCTAAGTTCTGTTTTTTTCTCCTCTATCGCTCAACTTTTTTATTTTTGTTTCCTCCTCAGCTCGCTCGCTCCATCGAAAGCTGAAAGGACAGGTCTAATTTTTTTTTCTGACTCTCCGGCTAGGTAGGCACTTCGCTGGACGTGGCTCCTGCCCGAGCGCTGCTGCCTCCTCCTGTGAGAAGTGAAGCGTCTCGGCCATACAGGACAGGTCTAATTCCTGTTTTTTTCTCCTCTCTCGCTCAACTGTTTTTATTGTTGTTTCTCCTCAGCTCGCTCGCTCTATCGAAGGCGGTCAGGTCTAATGTTGTCTGCGTTGGGGAAGAACTCCGCCGGACCGCTCGAGGGCGCGCCCAAACGTGGCGACAGGTTGCACGTGCAGCAGCACTCGGAGGAGCGAGGTCCGGCTGGGGTCTTTGCGCTCAGCTGCCCCAGGGGTGCAGCGGCGTGGCGCTGGTTGAGCGGGTGTCCGATTCAAGAGAAGAGAAGGATCATGAGATCTGCGCGGGAGGAGGGAGAGAGAGAGGGGGGGGGAGAGAGAGAGAGAGAGGTGGGGAGGAGAGAGAGAGAGAGAGGGGGGGAGAGAGGGGGGGAAGAGAGAGAGAGGGGGGGGGAAAAACAAAAAAGCATGAGACAAGAGAGAAAGCGAAACGTGTACAGTATAGGGAGAGACAGAGAGAGAGAGAGAAATAACAATGATTACAGTGATCTGTATATATAATACAACAAGGAGATGTAGAAATAGGGAGAGAGGGAGAGAGAGAGAGAGAAGGAGCAAGAACGAGAGACGGAGAGAGGGAGAGAAAGAGAGCACAAGCGAGAGAAAGACAGAGAGGAGAGGAGATGAAGGGAGGAGGGGAAGCAGGAAAGACGGAACAATCAGAGGAGAGGGAAGAGGCGGGAGGAGAGGACAGGAGAAGGTGAGCAACGAATACTCTGTTCAAACGACGGGCTTGATCAAATGAGGACAATTCTTTAATACGTGAAATATTGACCCGACCAAATACTTGAAATAAAAACGTGAGTGGTGGAATCAGACCTCCCCCCTCCCCACCTCTCACGAAAAAGCAAAAACGCCAATTTTATGATCTGCCTTTGGCCGATCTTATTCGGACACAATCTGCGCAGAACCAGTCACGCAACCCTGGCAGACTCCACAAACCTGGCTTCGCAGCAGTTCCCGGACGTGTCCCCGGGCACCGCGAAAACGTGCAACAGCCTCCCTGCGGGAGCTGCTGGGCGGCTGGGTGACCCCCTGGACTTCGAGCAAGTCTGCCCAAACATTCTTTTGGTCGGCGGGTCGGGAGCGGGCCCCTTCCGGTCAAGGGCTAAACGGGGCGCGGGTAGCCCTAAGTGGGGAGACCGGGCGCGGGCGGGCGGGGCCTCAGGCGGCCGGAGGGTGCAGAGTACAGGCGGTGCCGAAGATCCTGCACTCCCAGGGAAGAACAAAGCACAGCAAGAGCGCGTCGAGTCTTGGAGTAGGAAGGCGCTTGAAGCAGGAAGGCGCTTGAAGTCTGCCCGGGCAGCCGCCATGGGGCAAGAAAACGCCCTGGCCCACGTGCCGCCGCCGAGGCCCTCCGGCGGCGGCTGCGGCGCCGTCGTCGCCCCCTCTGGCCGCCACCGAGATGTTCAGATTATTCAGAAGAGGATCAGGAGGGCAAAAACACACAGGCACAATTCATGGTCGATTCCCCCGGAAATATGGGGAACCCTTTTATCTGTGTGTATATTTGTTTGTGCGTCCTAGGGCCCCTTTCAAAGGAAAGAGTCCATCCCTCTGCCCCCTCGCCCGCTTTCCCCTCTTGGGGCCTCCGGGGAGGCCCTCGTCGCCGCCGCCGGATTCGCCTCGAACTCATGGCCAGAGCGCGCCCGTCGACTGGGCCCGCCTCCCCTGCACGCCTGCCGTCCCCAAGCCCACACCGAGCCTCGCGCCGGCCTCCTCTCCTCCGCCTCTGCGTGCACCCGGCCCCGACCTCCGCGCATCACAGCATGCCGGGCTCACGCGCACGGCAGTGGCCGCTCGCGGCTTGCGGGGCCTCGTGGACGAGCTGTAGGACATGAAGCTCGACACGTCCTGGGTCGGAGCTCGGGGGGCCCGGGGTCGCCACAGCCGGACGTGCCTCGAAGCCTTCGCAAGATGTGGGTTCTGTGCTGCGCGAAAACAGGGGGGATAAAGAGGGGGAAAAGGGGGAGGGGGAGGGGAGAAGGGGGAGCGACAGAGGGGGGGGGGGATAGGGAGGAGGGGGACAGGAGGGGGACAGGCCTGCTCCTCCCCGCGCCTCGCGCTGAGCAGGGCCGCGCAGAGGAGGCAGGGGAGGCGCGAGGAGGCGCGATGGGGTCGACCTTGGGCCCTGGAGAGCGCCAGACCGCTCCACCGCCCTCGGTCCATGGTAAGAGCTCTGGGGGGTAGCCTTATGTCGGGCGTGTCCCCCTACAAGGGGGGAGTTTCGACGAAAAATAAAAAATACCCCCAACATGCCCCAAAAAGGTCAAGCAATACTCAAAACATAGTCCCCAGACTATGTTTGGAGCATTTTTGGAATATTTTGGGGGTATCTTTTATTTTTCGTCGAAAATCGCCCTGTAGGGGGACAGGCCCGACTAAAGGGTAGCCAGAAGGATGAGGGGAAGAGAGACCTCTGCGAACCTCTGCTGTAGCCAATACGCCCCGCCTCGCCCGGTGGCAACTCAGCCCTGACCCCCTTGGCTTCCTCCTCCTGGCCCTCTTTGGCGCGGCCCAGCTCACCCTCCCCCCCCCTTCCTGCAAGCCAGACTCCGTGCAAGCCTGGGTCCAGCGCGCAGTCGTGCCGCACGTCGGCACTACACCGCTGCGAGCCCGTCAATTTCGCGTGCGCGACACCCCCCTCTGGTGGCGCAGCCCATGCCATGCCGTCCGTCACCTCTGAGGGACGCGATCATCGACTGCTTCCCGTGTGGCACCGACTGCTTGACTGTATCGCCCACAAACGATGGGAACATGATAGATCACATACACGAGATGTGGTGGAAGCGGTCGTGCGCTTGGCCAAAGATGCTCCGATCCAACCAGAGGGGCGGAGCGCTCAGCTGATAGAGAAGCCGGATGATCGCGTCGGTCCCGTTTGGTCGATTGGCGAACGGTCCAAGCTCGATGATCGAACCGCAACCCACGGATCATGTTGCCACAGTTCTTCGCTGGCAGCTCTGCCCACGGAGGGCTGGTCGAGGCCTCAATGCCGCTCCTCCTCCTCCTCCTCCTCCTCCTCCTCCTCCTCCTCCTCCCTCCTCCCTCCTCCTCCTCCTCCTCCTCCTCCTCCTCCTCCTCCTCGTCCTCCTCCTCCTCCTCTTTCTCCTCCTCCTCTGATGTTGCCCCTGAACTCCAGCCGCTGGCGTGCGCATCAACCCTCCCTGGGGCGCCAACCAGAAAACTTCAACAGCGCGGCGCGCCAGGGGGGGGGAAGGCAGAGGGGCCAGGCCTTCTCCGAAGGCTTAGAGCCGGCTTCCGACCCTCCGAGAAGCTTCGAGAAGCACTCTTCGAAGCCGCAGGGGGCTTCCCAGAAGGCCGGGAGGGCTTCTAAGAAGCCCCGCCCCCTGCCGAAAGGGCCTGCCCCCCTCGCTTCCCCCCCGCGCGCCGCCGAGAAAGCAGCTTCGAAGGTGCTCAAGCCTTCAGCACGATCGGCGAAGAGAGAGAGAGAGAGAGAGAGAGAGCACTCTTCCCGGGCGGCTGGCCGCGTCCGAGCGGGCGGACTTGGCCCTGGCCGCGCGGTCGGCCTTGGTCCTCTCCTGGGGCCGGAGCAGCTTCCGAGCGCAAAGGGGAGGTCAGATCTCGCCCTCCAGCCCCCTCCAGTCACTGCTCCTCCTCCTCCCCCTCCTCCACAATTACACAATATGAAAATACTCTCCCACTTCCCCTGATGGCGTCCCGAAGATATCGGACCCCCCCCCCCGCGTACTGTTCTTTTACACACAGGATTCCCGGGAACGGGTTTTCGCCTGCGTTTGTTTCCACATGCTGCTCCCGCTGAGGCGCCGGCGTCATTTCTGCTCCCGAATCGTTCCGAATCGTGCTCCCGCTGCAGCGTTGGCCTCATTTTCGGATCGGTGTTTGGCCTCCGTCGTTCAGGATGGCGTTCTCGCCCCAGCGCGGGCCTCTTTCTCGCGCGCCCATCCGCCCGCCACCACCGCGCCGCACCACCACCACCACCACCACCACCACCACCACCACCACCACCACCACCACCACCACCACCACCACAACTACCACCACCACCACCACCACCACCACCACCACCACCATCACCACGCACACACGCACGCACGCACGCACGCGCACCACCACCCACTACGCACGCGCGCGGAGCCACAGGTCCGCTACGACACGCGTCCGCGGATAGAGAAAATTAGCGCCATGGTAAGGGATGGGAGGGAGGGGTAGGACGTCAGATATGACGCGAGCGCACCTAGCTTGTCCCCCTCCCCCTCCCCCTCCCCCTCCTCCACAATTACTCAATATGAATACTACTCTCCCCTTTCCCTGATGACGGAATGGGAGTAGCCGACCCCCCCCCCCCGCGTACTGTTTTTTTACACACAGGTTTCCCCGGAGTTGGGTTTTCGCCTGCACTTGTTTCCAAAATGCTGCTCTCGCTGAGGCGCTGGCGTCATTTTCGGGCCCCGCTCGTTCCGAATCGTGCTCCCGCTGCAGCGTGGGTATCATTTTCGGATCGGTGTTTTGCTTCCGTCGTTGAGGATGGCGTTCTCGCCCCAGCGCGGGCCTCTTTCTCGCGCGCCCATCCGCCCGCCACCACCGCACCGCGCCCCGCCCCGCCCACCGCCACTTCCACCC